ATACTCCTATAGTATTCTTGTTCTGATGTTCTTGTAGTAGTATTGGTAAGTTTTAGACTTGTTGCAACACCACAACCATTCTTAGGCACATGCTAGCCACCCCTAGGAAAATGTAGTTGATCAGGCTACATCCGCCTAGTTTTGGCCATATGTCTCTAAGCCTAACTGTGCTGTTCAACAATCTTAATACTTTTGTTCTGTTCTAGTATGATACTGACCCTTTGTATGAATGAATGTATATATATACTTAGTTAAATATTTTATTATTTAAAAGTATATATTCTTGTTCAGAGTGTTTTAGTCCCGATGTGTTTATAGTTTGTATATCTTTTATGGGTTGATATACTTGATTCACTATAAACAGTGCTCTGATACCAATCTGTCAAACACCAAAACCGAGAACGGCGGAATACGTTCTGGGGTGGAGGATGTCATGTACAGTATCATAACAAAGCATAATAGTAAAGACAAGCAACAACATCCATTGCATTAAGATAATAATTGTAATACAAACGTGTTCAGTACAAATGTTAGACACCAAAAATACAATCAAAATAAGGTGGAGTCTTATGTGTGCTCCGTCTTCTCAAAAGCGGCATCCGTACCTGTCTACTGATGACCTGAGAATACAAGTTATTTTGAAAACGTTTATCAGCATAAAGCTGGTGAGTTCATAAGTATTTAGTGTCATTTCCTGCATAAAAATATTCACAATTATACATTGTAAAAGAAAGTTTCGGTGTTTGAAAATAGTATGAGCCCTAGAAAACCCTATGTTTTCCAGAAAAAGTAGTCTTCACCAAGACCCGATGGTTTGTTTGTTCCTTTGATAATGTACAAGTTTTCCCAGTAGTTATTTGTTTGAAAATATAGTTTGACTTTATCCATGTATAGTTATGAGGAAAATGTTTTACCCCAACAGTATCACTGTCGGCCATATGTAATGAAATGCAGGCTCCAGGTAGTATTAAATGTACAATACTCCTCAGGGAGTCTGTTGCCTTTAATTTTTAAAGTATTAATTAAAGGTTTGAATGTGAACTCGTACGTAACCATGCTGATTGACGATCGAATCCCTTTGACCCTCCGAGTCATATGTAGATGTGACATTTTGTCACCCCTGGGCCTAGACGGCTCGGACTGTAGCTAGCAGTCGGGATGTGCGAGTGTCTGTCCCGTATAGATCTATACACATAATGCCCGTCTCCCTCCAGGAGACTCTGGTTACGCGGTGATAGCACAAAGATGTGTCGTATCGAGAAATAGTATGTCACATTCTATTTTAGTAAGTTCTCTTGTATAGTATGTAGTGTTCTCTTTGTATAGTACATAATGTTCTCCTTGTATAGTATGTAGTGTTCTCTTGTATAGTATATAGTGTATATTGACTCACAACTGAACTGACTTAGTAGTTGTCATGGCAATAGTAGCAGTGAGTATGTCCCTAACTATACCTATTATAGTACTACTGAAGACTTTTATATCTGACACAAAATATAGAAGCTATATCTAAGAATTCAACGAGCGTCGGACTAATAACAAAAACCCTAAGCCCACAATCAAAACAAGAACAGGAAGTAGGTGAGCTATTAGTCCTAAATCCTTCAAGTCTTACTTATATAAATATATTGGTGTAGATACCTACTATAGTTAAATAGTGTTGTTGGTTGCGTGTCTTTGATATCCAAAGGCATTGAGCTGATATGAAAACTTTTATATCTGACACAAATATATATGATATATAACTAAGAATTCAACGAGAGTCGGACTAATAACAAAATACCCTAAGCCCACAATCAAACAAGAACAGGAAGTAAGGTGAGCTATTAGTCCTAAGTCCTTCAAGTCTTACTTATATAAATATATTGGTGTAGATATGGTTTGAGAATAAAAATTAGTTTAAATGAATTTTGGAAAATAGTTCTATAGTGATTTAACACGAAAATAAATTTGGTAAGCATTTGAAAACAGTTTAATTGGCAGTATAGTTGAAAACATAGAAAATCCCTTTTTGATGGTGAAAACAGTTAAGAGTGTAGAAAATCCTTTTGGTTGCAAGTTATAATTCACATGCGATTGTTACTATAACTTAGTTGGTTCAACTTGTATTCCCCCCCATAAAACAGTTAAAAACATTTAAAAAGGTTCATTTAGGGGTATGAACTCACCTGTAGTGAGTGAAGTGGATGGAAACGCCGGGTAGGATGCTAGGTGTCAGTGAGGACTTGAACACACACACGGATCCTATGTAACATGTAGTGATGTATAAAGTATCTAATTAGTTGTGTAATCACTAATTAAGTGAGTAAAGGCACTTTAATGTATGCAAACACTTTGTTTCAAGTGTTAGGAGTGCTAAAGGTGGCATCTAAGGAGTGTATGGCCTCACTATGGAGTTTACACTTCACTTGGCCACACTTAAGTGTGTTTACGGTTAAGAGACCATTTCCCCCATGAGTTTACGGCCGTGAACTCATGGAAATGGTGAGTTTGTGTGTCTAAAGGTCTCATGCATCACAAGGAAGGCTTCTAGGATCAATTCGGAGGCTTGGGAAGTGATTAGGGTTCAAATGGGTACTCCCTTGGAGTTTACGGTCCTTGGACCACTCCTTGGGAGTTTACGGTCGTAAACTCTAGGAGTTTACGGTCGTAAACTCTAGGGTTTACGGCCGTAAACCTTGACCACTTCAACCATTTCGTTTAAAGGTCCTAAGCTCATTTACACTAGTTTCTAGTTCATCAAACAAGCTAGGAAGTTTAGGGGCATCAAAACACCATTTGAGGTGTTTAGGTTTTTTGGTTTTTGTTTTTTACGGTTTTCGAATGTTCAAGAACCGTAAACTCAAGTTTATGGCCAAAAAGTCGTGATCTTGGGTTCCTTAGTCCATGCATGCAAGTATCTAAGCTTTAGAGAAGGTTTGGAAGTGTTTTGGGTCTTCGAAACCCTCATCTAGGAGTTTACGGTTTTGGGAGGCTCCCCAAACCGTAAACACATGCATGTTGGGGCTTTTGGATGATCTAACTCGAATTAACATGAATACTAAGCTAGAAATCACGTTAGGAAAAATTACCTTTGATTTTTGAGGCTTGAGAGTGGTGTTCTTGAGCCAAACCCGATTTTAGAGAGAGAAAGTAGAGAGAGAAAGCTCCAAGGTGGGAAAAGGCTCTAAAGGTGGGCACTCCTCCTTTATATATGGCTGCCTAGTGGGGACCCACCATACACTGTCGTTTAAACGGAGCTAGGTGTTTTTACCGGGTAAACTAACCGTAACCCGACTTAGTTGTTTTTATTCCATCATTATATATTATTTATTTTAATAACTCAAAATGAATTATTTTAATAAATAAAAATTAACGGAAAATTTTAATGGAACCAACTTTTATTAACGGAAACGGGTTACATTGACGGAGTAAAATTTCGGGTTGTCACAATTTTCCAGTCTCAATCCAGAATAAAAGAAGAGTTTATAACGTTAAGTATAGGTAAGCAAAGGGCCATATTCTTGGTTCGCTTAGAGCCCCAGGTTAAGCCACCCCTACCTGTTGGATCTATATGCCCAAGAATCATTATGGAGTGATATTGCTAATAATATATGATCCTATAGGGTCACATCTTTATCAAGTTGACACATTTTGTATATTTATTATTAATGATTATTAATAAATAACATCAATTCTTGTATTTTAATTAGGGAATAATTATTGTTTTTGTGAAAATAATAATTATAAGAGAGTATTTCTAGTTATTATTTCATATGGTATGAATTAATAAGTCATGCACAACATTTTGGACTAATTGAATTCTTTTGTCTTTACCTAAAGACAAGTTTATATTTTATAACTTGGAGTTTATAAAAAATAAAGAATCTTTCTTTTTAAAGAGGCAGGCCAAAACATAATGATGGTGTGGGAGGTTGCTTTTTCAACCTTCCACATTTTGTCTCTCTGCTTCTAAGGGCTACCATTACTTTAGATTATTTTAATTGTTTGGCCTTAATTTTCATGGGTATATAAGATATGCATGAGGCTTGCATTTTTGCAAGAGTGAAGCTCTTCTTCTTCCTCTCTTTTCTCTCTAGAACCCGTGGGTTCTTCTTTTCTTCTTCCTCTCTCTCTCTTTTGGAGTTAGTTTGGTGTTTAGAAGACCCTCTTGAGTTGTTATTCCCTTTAGTGCTTAATTGAATTAAGCACTTGAAGGCTTTAGACACTCAAGAATACAAGAAGGAACTAGCATTCCAAGTGCCTTACTCTTGATGTTTGATACTTGTAGAGAAGATCATACACTTTGATCTTCTGTATCTCATCAGCATCCCAAAACCAAGTGGGTTCAAAGGCTTCAAAGGTTATCTCTAAAACACCATATGGTTGGTTTTATTTCATTCTAACCTCTATAAATGGATCCATGATGATTCGGTTTTTTTATGAAATAAAAATAAACTTGTTATTTTCAAAGTCTTTTGTTGCCGGTTTTTGTGAAAAACAAACTTTTATCTCGTATCAACACCCAACACTACCCAAGGTAGAAGAAGAGAGGAATATTGTTCTTGGAATCCGTTATTAGAGGAAGAAGTATTTGAAGTTGTTGAACGATATTGGCATAGTGCTCTCGCCAAATCAATTTGGGTAAAATTCAAATCTTTAGTACTAAATTGTTGCAAATTGATCTTATATTCCTTGTAGAAAATCGATTTAATCTTATTACATTTGAAAATTATGACGTAGGGTGGGGTTACCCACAACATGAATGATATGGGCACAGTGATTGCTCTGGCCAAGTTAATTTGGGTTAAAATTCAAATCTTTAGTTCACAACCGATTTTGGTGTATATATGTAACACACATTAGCATAAATATTACGGCAATCGTTTGTTTCAGGTGATTGATTTTGGATCTTTGAATTTTTTTTGATTATTTTGTCTTCATAAAATTAACATATGAGCTATTCACGATATGCAAAACTTTCAACTTTTAATGATAGTGTATAATAAGTTAACACATGTATGGACATTGAGCATTGTGTTAATCATAGCCTTATGCCCTTATCAGATCCTACACAAAATGGGTAACTTCTGGTTGTTTCTAGTGGTGAACATCTATACAGTTTTTGTCCAACTTAATTGATGTGACAAATTAACGAGTCAGAAAAAGTTTGGTTATTAGATCGAGTTGTGATCAATTATACAATATGGCAAGTTTTATGATAAGAAAATTGACTGAATTTTAACTTCACGTACATTACCGTGAATATTTTGACCAATGTTGCAAAGGTTATCTTCACACTTGTTATGCTTTTAATACATCTAAATTAATTATTGTGCTTTAGGTTTTTGCTATTACAATTTACACATGGTTGTACAAATTGAAGAAATGTTGGTTTTACTTTTACATGCTAGAAATAAGAAGGTTGGAGAGAAGTCACTTCTTTCGGTCTCTAATTTTTGTATAGGTAATCAAATCAATTTTTCCAGACATTTTTCCGTGAGGGTAGTTTAGTCATTTACCTTTTAGAGCAAGCACGCAGGTTTGGTGGTTTCAAAGTGTTAAATTGGGTTGGTGAACCTGTTAATATATGAAAGACTATTATTTTGTTTTTTGTGAATGAATGTGAAAAACTTTTCAGAAGCAAAAGAGATTCCCTGCACCATTAACTTCAATTCAATTAAATGTCACTATCACTTTGACTATATTCACTTTCAATTTGACTATATTCACAGATTCTTTTTATTTATATATTTATTTATTTTGTTTTAGAAGTATATAAATATATAATACATATTTCATTCATTTGTAGTGTTTTTACTCTAGAAAAATTTATATTTCCTTCGATTCCTTTAGTACATTCAATGGATTCCCGAGGAAAAGCTAAACAAACCGGTTCTAGCAAAAACGTAAATTCACACAAGCCGGTTCAAGTCAAGATATTCCATTTTTTTCTCAAGATTTTCAAAATCCAAACTATCAACAATACCAAAACTACCAATACCAATATTTCCCGGTGCAATAATCTTACAACACATTTAGGCTTCCAGAGGAAAATCAGAGTTATAATCCATGGAATCAGTTTTCTCAAAGGGTTCCAGAAACCGAATTCCAATCTTCTCAACCCGAGAATTTCCAGTTCCGTGATGCTCAGAATGAAGAATCTGACAGTTCTAGTGACGACCCGACTCCCGAAAGAAACGAAGAAGAAACCAGTGAGGAGTTGCAACCCGTTGCTGAGAAAAAACGCAACTATACACACCGCCAGAAGCGAAAGAACTGGGTGGAACGCAAAGAGTTGGCTTTGGCTAGGGCATATGTCAATATTTCTAAAGACAAACAACGCGGAAATCAACAAAGGTTCGATGCATTTATGGAGAGTGTTCTAGAGCATTTTAATGTTCAAATGGGAGGTTCGGATCAGTCACGACACCACGTAAACTCAAAATGGAAAGACCTCCAAAAGAAATGTAATGCTTTCAACGACATCTATAACCGTAAGATGAACATTGTGGCCAGCGGAAGATCTGAGGCTGATGTTTTACAATATTCACTAAACGAGTATCGGAGGACTATTAACCAGAAAGGTTTTCCTCATCAACAAGCTTGGGAGTGGTTGAAAGACAACGCGAAATGGGCATTTGTTACAAAAGCAGGTGAAGACTCCCCACCTCCTTCCTCAAAACGAACCAAAACATCTTCATCCAACGCCTACACATCATCATCTGATCCATAATATCCTCCTGGATTCTCCCCCCAACAACAACAATCATTTAGTGTTGAAGACTCACCGCCTCAGAGAAAAAGAAAAGGAAAGAAAGCGACATCAACGTCATCAACAGAAAATGAAATGTTTGATATCGTCAAACAAATTGTCGGCATCAAGACTGCAACCGAAACAGAGGCGGAATAGAGACAACAGTACCGAAAACAAAAATTGCACATTCTTGAAGCTAATGAAGAATGAAAAGCTCAATTGTTGGATCGGGAGATAGAGAACCAAGATATGGAGTATTTTCTCCGGCCGCATGATCATTTGACTGGAGGTATTTTGCGCACGGTGCTTGAAATTAAACGACAAATTGCAACTAAGTATGGTTGGAAGTTGGAGAACCCATGAAGTTCAAAATGTCGACATCATTTGATTGGAGAATCTTTCTCTTTATTATTATGTTTTTTATTTTTATTTTATTTTTATTTTTATTAAGATTCTCTATATGTAGCCTTGTTTCATTATCTATATATAGTTATGCTTGTTTCATTATCTATTTATATGTATGTTTGTTTCATTTTCTCTCTTTTCAAAATGAATCCAAACGTTCGAAAAATAGTAATGGAATTTAACGATGATAGTTCATGATCTGAGGATGACCTTATCAACAATAATTTGTTACATGTATTGTCTTGTACTACACAACTGCTTCTTCAGAATAATGCTAGTTCAAGCAACATTCAAAGGAGAAACACAATCCACAAAGATTGTTTACAGGCTGAACGACTGTTGATCCAACATTATTTTGCAGATGATTCAACCTATGGTCACACGTAATTCCACAGAAGGTTTCGTATGAGCAAAGGTTTGTTTATGCGACTTGTTGGTGACCTGGAGACGAATTATCCTTATTTTCAAACAACATGGGATGCAACAAATCAAATAAGTTTCAGTGCGCTACAAAAATAAAAATGCACATCAACAATACGTCAATTAACAAAGGGTTATAACCCAGACTCGTTAGATGAGTATCTGAATATCGTGAAGCTCTTGAAAACTTTTGCTACGGTGTTGTCCAAATGTATAAGGCTGAATATTTACGTCGTCCAACATCCACTGACATTCAGCTTTTGTATGAAGCACATGAAGCTAGTCATAGATTCCCTGGAATGTTTGGTAGCATTGACTGCACACATTGGAATTGGAGGAATTGTCCAACGGAATTGAGAGGCCAATACATGAGGGGTGACCATCAGTATCCATCAATGATACTAGAAGCGGTGACGTCACAAGATTTATGGTTTTGGTATGCATTCTTTGGTGTAGCCGGTTTTCTAACAATGATTTAAACGTCCTCTACCAATCACCATTGTTTGATGAGAAATATCATGGAAATGGTGAACACTACAAACATGGTTACTATATTGCGGATGGAATATATCCATCATGGGCTGTATTTGTGAAGGCATATCCATATCCAGTAACCGACAAAAAGATACGGTTCAAGGCGGCACAAGAATCAGCAAGAAAAGACATATAGAACGTGCTTTTGGGGTCCTTAAAGGATGTTGGGACATATTAAAAATGCGTGCATGAGCTATGACGGTGAAGAAAACAAAAATATAATGTACGCTTGTATTATACTACACAATATGATATTGAAAGATGAGGGTGCTGCGATATCTCCTGTGTATCAGCCGACCCCCCTGCCGACGAAGTTGATGACCAAGAAATAATACATGAATTGTGCAATGCTGAAACCCACCACCAACTTCGATCCGATCTTACTGATCACATTGAACATGTCTACATTTCAACTCTAGATAATAACTAGTTAATTTCAATTGTCGTTTTAGGATTTAAATTATGTTGTCTTTTTTTAAGTGTATTTTTTAATTATCGTGTTTTATAATTATCGTGTATTTTTTATTTATAGTGTGATTTTTTAATTAAATGTAATTTTTAATACTATTTTAGATTTTTTTTAAAATTAGCAAAAAAAAAAATCAAAAAAATGTTATGTTTTATTTTAATTTATATTTTCTAATTTAATTAAATAAAAAAGAATATTAAATGTTATTTTTAATATTATTTCAGATTTTTTTTGTTTTAAATTAGCAAAAAAAAAATGAAAAAATATATGTTTATTTTAATTTATATTTTCTAATTTAATTAAATAGAAAAGAATGATATGGAAAGTGAGTTGGAAAAGATAAGGTTTCCATATGTTGTGGGTTGGGAAAGATAGAAGAAAGAGAAAATAGAAAAACTGATGTGGCAGTGAGTTGAGTGGGTTGGGAGGGAATGACTCCCTCCTCCCTAACTAGTAACCACATATTTTGATTATCTATTCAAACTACAATTGCTCATTGCTACAACTTTTTTTTTTAGAATGAGCTTTAATACAAAAAAAATAATTAAAGAATTGTTCCCTGTTACTGAAAAAATATAGAATTGGTCCCTGTTGAATAAAACAAATTACAAAATTGGTACCTATATAGAATTATTTTTACAGAGTTGGTCCATGTGGCAAAAATCATTATAAAAATGGCAGAAAAACATTATTATAAAAATGATCCCTATGTAGAATAACATTACAAAATGGTCGCTGTTGTAGAAAACAAATTACAGATTGGTACATGTGTAGATATGTTTTACAGAGTTGATCCATATGGCATAAAACATTATAAAAATGGTCTCTATGTAGAATAACATTACAGAATAGTCATTGTTGCAGAAAACAAATTACAGAATTGGTACCTGTGTAGAAAAAAATTACTTAGTTGGTCCCTGTGGCATAAAAACATTACAGGGACCAATTCTATATTATACGTAATTTGATTAGGGATTTTTTTGGAACGAATCTGTCAAGGGATTTAATTTAGGATTTAATTTGGTAGGGTATTTTGGTAAACTCATATATAATTTCGAAATTTAGATAATTTATTTAATATAAAATTGATATAATCCAAATTAAAAAAAGATTTTGGATATAGATGTAATTTTTATAATTTTAGATGAACATACACGTAATTTTAAAGTTTATAAGGATAATGACGTAATATTAAAGTTTAGAAGGATATATATAAAATTTTCCCTAAATTTTATGTTGAGTTTTTTTTGATATGTTGTAATTTTCTCCTCTAGTTTAATGAAACTTTAGGTTTTATAAAAATTTTTTGCTTGAAATGTTTATTCTTTATATTAATTAATTTTAGAAAAAAATAGCATGACAAGCATGACAACCCACGCCCTTTAAACGACAATTTTTTGATGCAGTGTGACAAATCCTACATGGACCGTGACAAGTATGACACCACCTCCTCTAGCTTTAATCTAGTTAAATAGAAGCATGTGCTTGGCATATGATCGGGAAAATGTTTCTATTTAAGTTTATAAAATTTATGTTTTATCTGTTATTTTTATAGAATATATTGATTGATTAATAGTAAGGGTTAAAACCCATATAAATAGAGATACATAAGGGGCTCTTGGCCTAACATAAACCCTCAGTTTGATCAGGAGGAGGCTATTAAACTAGAAAAATAAACAAGAGAAACAAAACATAAAAAACAAAAATGAAGACAGCCGCAATAGCGGTGGAAGAGTTCTGACAATGGTAACGATTACTTATCGGAGAAGGAGAGACAAGAAATGGCGGTCGGTGGCGGTTCCTTTTTGTAAGAAGAAAGGAGTGGCGACGACAACAATCATGGAGTCGGCAACAGACGAGTCCGGAGAAAGCAGCGAGAAAGAAAGAGGGCTCAACTGTTGTGGGCATAGTCTATTCCGGATGACTCAGAAAATAGAACTAAAGAAGAGGCGAGCTAAGGAGAAGGCAGAAGGCTCGGAGGCATGGGTCATCCGAGAAGGAGACATAAGTAAACGAGTCAGTAGAAGAAATCGAGGAAAGAGCTCTGTTTGGTGCCGACGCATGTTTTATTATTTAGGAGGAGAAAAAAAAGAAAGGGAAAAATATGGAGCGTAATCCGGGGCAGATCTTATATAGGGCTAAGTGTCAAACCCCCAGCCATCGGCGGAAACACCGGGTGGTGTAACGTCATCCATGTAAACCCTAATACCCATGTCTTTTCATTTCCATGAGATCGATGGGTTAAAGCTCCATGGAGTATCCATGGACTTTCCATGCAAGCCTAGCCCATTCGAAATAAGCATTAGCCCACACTATATAAATACAAGAGCCCATATTTAATTAGTCATACTTTTGATCTCTAAATTAATTCTAAATTAATTATAGATCAACACTAATTAAATAATATGATTTTATATTAATATATTAGAACTTATAATATATTAATAAATCATAACTTATACCATTCTCAAAAGATTATCCATAATTGTTCGGGTGAAGTGCAACCCAAATGGACCATGTCGGGTCGGGTCAAGTACATACCAAATATAGTTATGGACTTAGACACTATCTCCAACAGTTGGATCGTTCGGTGATCGTGTTCATCGACGATATACTGGTGTATTCGAGATCCAGAGAGCAGCATGAGAAGCATTTGAGAGAGATCCTCGGAGTATTAAGGTCGGAGAGGCTTTACGCCAAATTCTCCAAGTGCGATTTCTGGCTATGAGAGGTCCAGTTCTTGGGACATCTCGTTAACCAGAAGGGGATATTGGTCGATCCGGCCAAGATTGAGGCTGTGATGAGTTGGGAGGTGTCGAGGTCCCCCACCGAGATCAGGAGTTTTCTGGGGTTGGCCGGCTACTATCGGAGATTTATCAAGGATTTCTCCAAGATTGTCGTGCCCCTCATCAAGTTGACCCGGAAGGGCGTTGCTTTTTCGTGGGGTTCGGAGCAGCAGACCTCGTTTGAGACTCTTCGCCAGAGGTTGTGCGAAGCCCCGGTGTTATCCCTTCCAGAGGGAATGGAGGATTTTGTGGTGTAATGCGATGCATCGATATCGGGGCTGGGTGCGGTGCTTATGCAGAGAGGGCATGCAGAGAGATGCAATTTGGGTGATTGTCGACCGGCTGACGAAGAGTGCTCACTTCCT